GCAAAAAAAAGAAATTTGTTTAGCAAAACAAAATACTCCAATTCCATCAAATGCAGAATTGGCAATAGCTTTTGATATAGGAAAAAGCACTGTCTGATATTTTAAATCAAAAAGAAAAATGGCTTGAAGTTGATCCAGTATCTTCCGATGCTAATAAAAAGAAAAAGAGAAGCTTGATATATGAAAATATCGACCAAGCAATGGCTATTTGGGTTCAAGAAGCAATTAATGCATGCTTAGATCTTAATGGTGATATATTAAGGGAAAAAGCAAAAAAAATTTCTGTGCTTCTTGGAATTGAGGACTTTAAGGCATCAGAAGGCTGGTTAACTAAATTTAAACAAAGACACAACATTAAACAATATTTAAAGCAAGGTGAAAGTGGTAGTGATCCCATTTCTGAATTACCATTTTATAGAGAAGATCTAAAAAACATTACAGCCCAATACCAATTGTCTGATATTTTTAACGCAGATGAAACAGGTTTATTTTGGAAAATGGAACCATCTAGAGTACTATCTACAGGGCCAGTATCTGGAAGAAAAAAATGAAAGAAAGAATTACAGTAATGTTGACCTGTAATGCTAGTGTAACAGAGAAATTAAAACCTCTTCTGATCCATAAGTCTCAAAATCCAAGAGCAATTAAAAAAATTGAGAAAAAATCTTTGCCAGTGAATTATTATTGGAACATGCAAACATCCATTTTTAATGACTATCTGACAAATTTAAATAAATCTATGAGATTGCAAAATAGAAATATTTTGCTCTTGCTTGATAATGCTCCAACACATTCAGTTTCTGAAACAATTGACTTATCTAATATTAGAATTCATTTTCTTCCACAAAATACTACAACATTTCTCCAACCATGCAATGCTGGCATAATAAATAATTGCCTAGGTAGATCAACACATGACATGTTTACTATTTAGGAAAGATGTTCATATTATTCATGAACAGGAGGTTATTCATATTTATTCAAATATTCATGAATATTTTCCAAGGATTTTTAAAATTTCATGCGCAACTTGCACATGATCTGCAGTGCAACTTTTTTTTTCAAAAAATTTTATGTATTTATTTATTAAAAAAAATTAATTAAATGTTAAAAATATGTATTATCTAATAATTCATAATCACTTTCATTATTACTGCCATCATAATTATTCTCAACACTACCATCACTATCATCAACACTATAATCACCATCGTCACCATTATCATCACTAACCTCAATAACATCATTATCTTTACCTACGTTTGTAGCTTTATTTGGATTTTTTGGATTTTTCAATTTATTATTGAAATATATATAAACCAATTTAAAGGTACAATCATTTGTCAATTTATTTCGTTTTTTATCATGTATATAGGAGAATGTTGACCAATTCCTCTCAGATGCAGCTGATGAGGTAGGAATAGAAAGAACTCTTGCAGTAACATTTGTTAATTCAGGTGCTACAGCTCCAAAGTTTCCTTTCCACCAAGTTAATAAATCCACTTTATCAACTGATGCCCACGCCAATAAATTGTTAAATATTCCAGTGTGTGCTTTATATTGTAGAAATTGTTCCCAAATTTTAACAGAGTGATTAGGATAAAATTTTACAATAAAATCTGACAATAAATTCATACCATTTTCAGGTAATTTGTGATCGGAAATCCTAGGATTAAGAAGATAAGCAACTAACATTACAGGACTATATATTTTCTTCCATCTTTTTTTAATAATGTCCTTTATTTCATTATCAAAATTTGCTATTAAAAAAAAACAATTATTTAATAATAATTACAATAAAAATTACACATTTTTGAAATTAATCTAAGAATATTAAAAATATTATTACTTTGTGCATTTAAAAGATTCTGATACCACTCATAAAATAAGCCTAATTTTGGTTCATCAGATTCAAATAATTTAATACCAATAAACACTTTATTCAAAATACCATGAATTGAAATTATATTATCCCAGAATTCTCCACTTTGAATACTTGATTTTACATCAACATTTATATTACGAGATAATTCAGTAACAGTTAATTCTAGAGCCAATCGATTTTGTATTAATGATTCAAGACACATAACAGAAGAACCCCATCTAGTTTTTACTGGTAATTTTAACGAAGCTTGAGATTGATTATTATTTTGTTGGTATCTTTTAAAAACAGCTGATGGAATATTATGTGATTTAAAAAATTTTACAATACTTTTACTTTTTTTTAAAAAGCCATCAACCCAATCTAACTTGATAATATCACCAATTAAAAGATTCAAACTATGTGAAATACAACCTATATATATTATAGATGGATATTTTTCCATTAAAATACTCCATGCCTTCTTCATCACCTGTGCATTATCCGTTACCAGAGAAGAAAGTTTATTTATATCTAATATATTAATTATATTTTCAAGATCAGATGCTATATTATCACTTGTTTGGCAAATCTCTCCAGTAGTGTGGCTTTTATGAAAACAGGTGCAGGAGTAGTCAAAATATAATTAGTCCAGTGCTCTTGAGTGATACTTGACCTTAAAATTTTAAAATTTTTAATTTTATTTAAAAAAAAAAATATATACACACTTATAAAAAATAATTTAAGAACTTACCACCCATCTGAAACCAAACTATAATATTCAGCTTCCTCTATTAATTTATCAACTTCTTGTTTAGTTTCTTCGTATACATTATCTAATAGAGTGGTGGAAAGTTTTTTTCTTCCGGGTAATTTAAATGAAGGACGAGCTTTTGCCCATAAATTTTTAATTGGTGTTAATTCTGATAAAGAAAGAAAAAGCCCACACTGATAAATTGATTTTGCGAATAGAATTTCTAACTCGTCTTGTTCTTTTTTTGATATTTTATCAACAAAATAGTTTAATGATTGATTTTTTAAATACACTGATGATGACAGTGATAAAGATGATGATGTTGACGATGATGACAGTGATGATGTTGTTGATGATGACAGTGATGAAGAAGAAGAAGAAGATGATGATGAATTACTATCATTATTGTCATTAATTCCAAAACTCAAAAATGATTGTAAAACGTGTGTAGGTACATCTTTACATTTTTTAAAATGCACTTCACATCTTGTAGCAATTTCACATAATTCATAATTACAATATTTACATTTAACACGGTTTTGTTGAAACCCAATCACCCTGCCCAACTTTTCAAAATGCAACCAAATATTTTTATTAACCATTATAATTATTATTATAAATTTAGAATTTTTTTGTTACACACAATTCTCTATGGGAAAATGCAAGATTTTTAAAAATTGCATGCGCAAGTTGCGCAAGTCATGCACAAGCATGCGCAATGGAACATCCCTAACTGTATATATTTAAATCAATTAATATATCTACATTTGTAATTTTCTTAATCTGTGACCCATTGACCTGAACCAACTTGTTTGGAGCTCTAGTCATCTTTTTTTAGTTTAGGAGTGATGATTGTTTACAATTGCTGGCCAATTGCATTCTTTTTTTAAGAAAAACCAAGTTTTGGTATTCTCAAGTTCAAATGATCAATAAAGAACCTCTTCATAGAAGAGGTTCTCCTTTGTTGAAGAAAAGATGGTATGGAAAATTTTTGATCTTTTTGGGAACCATTTTTTTTTTTTTGTAAAATATCAAGTTCTTTTATCTATTTCATATTTCATCTCTGCTATTAAAAAAAGTCTTAGGAGACATAACTATAGAAATAACTTTATTTAGATAAACTTTGATTTTATCTGAGGATAATTGTAGATATAGAAAGCATTTGCAGAAATTGCAGACAATTGTGGATATTAATATGAAAAGTATTTGCAGACAATGTGGGCATTTAAGACATTTCCCGCAGTGTTGCAACATCAAGAGTTGCAGCGTTTTTAATCCTTTTTTCATATAAGCTTCCAGTGCCTGAGTATCATTTATTTTGAAAATGTAAGGGGCAATTTTTTCACCTTGTTCTTTCTTCAAAATACTTCTGATATGTAAGGAAACCTCTTTTCCTTACAAGACCAAGTGTTTTAATTAAATACAAGTTACAAAAGTTATAAAACAGAAAGCTTATATTTATATAATTTATAATAATAATAAAAATACAATAAATAAATAAATCTTATTAATAACCAAGTTGGTCTCTTAAGACTTTCCAGAAAGCTCCAGCACTTAATTTGCAACTTGTATCCAAATAATGAAAATAACAATTGTACACAATAACAATATAGACTAAAATAATTAATAATAGATCAGTTGCATACAATGTAAAGTATTTTAATAGGACCCCGGAGACTACATATATAGGTTATAACAGGAGAGACCGTTCTGGGAACACAAAAATTAACAGGAGGGAACACAAAATTTTAACCCATGCTATTTGTTGATTGACCAATTAAAATTGCGAATTTGATAAACGTAGAAATAAATATGGGTTTGATTCATTTTGTCAACAATCACTTCACCAACAATTGTTACATTAACGAATTTAAGAAGTTGGAAGCAACTGTTGAAATAGTCTATTAAATTAAATTGTACTATATAGACAGGTGTTTAATTTTTATCTAATGAATGTTCTATAAGCTCATGACACTTCAAAATTGATAAAGAAAAGATTTAAAACAAAAGGTTTGTATATTAAAATATATTTTACATATTCCTGATATTTAATTTTGAATAAAGATATATAATCACCATTTATAAATTTAGAGCTTTATGTTATTGATTCTGGTATATTGGAAATTTATTTTGAACAATTAATTTGTTAATTATTAAAAATCAATTTATCAAACATTATATTATTAGATGCTGATGCTAATGATAGTTTAATGGAAACAAGCAGTAAAATCAACAACAACACACTTTAGGTTGATTATTTCTTCAGGCATTTAAAAGTTATATCATATTTTCTTTGTATAAACTTGTTAATAATATATCTGCATATATTTTTTATAGATAATTCAAACTTGTCAAAAAATAAAAATATAACCATGCTGAAAAATCATGGATAATATTAATATTCTAACAAAAAAACAAGATCAAACTAATGAATTACTTTTATCAATAAATAAAAAACTTGGATTAATGACTGAAAAAGATGCCAATATAAAATTTAAGGTATAAAATAATGGTTGTAGTAGTTTTTTTTAAAGATTTTATTTTTATTGATAGTATGTTTTTCAACATCATTTCAATTCAAAATATATGTTGGGGTATTTGGATGTAAAATTCCAATTGGTTTATTCGAGTTCCACACATGTCAAATCCAATTTTAAATTGATGCACAACATATATTTTTTAAAAAAACCATTAAACATGAAGAATATGTCAGAATTGTCTGACTTTGGGTGATAAAATAATTTATTAATACTAATTTTTCTGTTTGTAAAATTTAATTAGGGAGACATTATGGAAGTTGGTATTATCAGAATCTGATGATATTTTTTTAAATTTAATCAACGAAAATAAATTAAATGGTAAATATGAAAATAGGATTAGAAAAATTCTTTATTTGTTTTCAAAATTTCAAAAAACTTTTTAATTTTAAAATTAAAAATGAAAAAACTCAAGTAAAGCTTTTCAAAGCAGTAACTTTATATAATGGTATCATCATCAGATCAGATAATAATTACCATAATAAATCCTGGTTTAGTAATGTATCAATCAAAATGGATTCAAATGAATCTTCAGATTATTTAACTGATGAAGATTTATGCTATGGGCAAGTAAGTATATATAAGTATTTTTTTATATCAAAACTTTTTGGTAATTTATATTATTATTATTATTATTATTAGATTTTACTGCTTGCTGAAGTAGATTTCATTGATGATAATATAACACTACAATCGGCACTTGTTAGATGGTATGACTTTGTTAAAAGTCAATCTTATGTTTATGAATGCCCGCATTTAAAATTAACAAATTTGTATGATTTTGTATTGTAAAAATTATAATTGATACTGTTCATGTTGTTCCAAGATTTAATGATGATAATCAATTTTTTGTTAATAAATTCATATTTTGATTTTTGATTATACATGTCAAAATTATTAAATTGTGTCAGTGACATTGCATCACCCATCATAATATTATGTGACTAATGCTATGGAAAACCAAAATGGACAAAAGATCATTTGAATTAATGCTAGAAATTTCCAATGCAACATCAAGTAAACAGTACACTTCATTTTTTATTTAATGCTACACACATTTTTTATTTAATTACAACCAGCATTGATGCACATGGTTCATGCTAACCAAATATAGAAATTATCTGTAACCAATTTGATTAGCACTTCCAACACTTGTGTAGCATTTTTTAAGAAGTGAAAAAATGATGTGTACCATTTAATTCGTGATCCATCAATGAAGGAAAGGATCTACATAGTAAAATTCCGGGATAAGCATCATAGTAAAATCAATTAGTGTCCATAATCTGGAACCGCTGCAGAAATAGCACAATATTTTACATGTAGATTTGTACTTTAAAATTACTAAATAAAACTCTGAGTATCTGGCTCTCTTTTTAATTTAAATTTATAAAAATAGCCCCAAAATTTCTAAAGTTACATAACCCAGAAAAAATCAAAACAAATATTATTGGCTAAAACATGCAGATCTTTCATTGAAAAATGGTTTATGAAGAAAAACTTGGCGAGAGCTTTATTAAAGGTCATACAACTTCCAAAACCATGTATTACGTGTATTTTTAACTGCTTTACAAGCCTACCAAAAAATAGTCAATAGTTTCAAATTATAATCATAAAGTTACCAAAAAATGGATGTCCAGATTTAACATTCAAATCTAACCATGCCTCTAAAGTTGGTGTCTGCAACTGATTTGAAATTCTGCAACCAGTTGTGACCTAGGTTGAAACATCCCAAATTGCAATTTCTTAGATCAGACACCAACTTTACACACCTCAATAATTATTGGTTTAAATATAGCTGTTTTGCCACTTTTTGACCCGTGATAGTTTATTAACCTATTAAAATTAATATCATAAATTTTCCTCTATTATTATTATAATATGTAACAATTACTATTAGTTTTTTCTAGATATAAATAACAGTAAAAATAAATAAAGTCAATAGCTACCATTGTGGTTATTAAATATATTTAATAATATTATTATTCTGGAACACATTCTAATTATTTTATATATTTAAATATATGAATTTTATACCTACAATCCAGGAACACTCATTAAATAACAGAAAACTGACAAATTTATAGTTTTTTACTTTTGATTTACGTAGTCATCATTTAATCAAAAATTTCTTGATGATATTGATATTTTAATAAAATTCTATCCTTTTGCTACATTCAATCAAATACCAAAATTTTCTTTTTAATAATAATTATTATTAAGAAATACTACTAGTAGTATTACCATTATTGATACTACTGCCTTTATTTAATGAATCAGAAAAAGAATTCTCATTATTTTATTTAAATTTATCAAATATTACATAGAAAAATTGTTGTTAGGTTAAATAGTATAGTAAGATAATGAATAATTAATATTATACATGAAGTTGAAATTAAAACCCCAAAGTTGAAATGTTTTGACTTAAGGCAGCTACATAGTAAAATCAGTTTCAACCTTATTTTGACCCTATTTTGAAATGGATTGAAATAATTTCAACTTCATGTATAATTAATATAATTAATTAATTTGAAAACTTCTAATTCATCAAATATACTATTGCCTACTATATTGATATTAACATAACTTGATGGTGTGCCATGAATATGATCTTCTTGAAAGTAAATATCACAACCACCAAAACCACTACCAAAACCTGGTAAACAATTTGGATGACAATAAATTGCATGTTGACGCTTGTTATTAATAACATAACTAAATTTTGCAGTATTAATATTATTTTTATTACTTATATTAAATATAAAACTTTCAGTTGTATTTTTATCAATCACATTTTCATTCCAATTGAGGGGATTATAACCACCAATTATTTGATCTGAATTTTGTATTTTGGCAACTACAAGAGTTTTGTTGATACTATCACATTTTTGATGAAATATAACTGGATTTAAACCATCTCTACTACTCTGATACAAAAGTTTGAATTTATATTTGACCTCCCTGAATGAACTATATGGTGGGTTTTTTCTATCAATCCAACTTGCAAAAAGCAAAGTAAGATTTTGATTGATTGTCAATGATTCAAGTGTTGAATTCAATTTTGAAATTCTTGATGATAATAAATTTAATTTTTGTTGTTTATCTGGAAATAAATAATAATGTGAAATATCCTTCCATAAAACCTTAGGGAAAAGCATTTGATATGGCATGAAAAAATCCTCTCTAGAAATATCCTGAAATCTTATCAGAGAAAAGAATTCTTTTAATGTGTTGCCTAAATCAACAAAATTTTGTGATGACCAATCATCAACATTATTATTATTATTGATTTCAGGATGTTTTGCCAATCCCCATTTAATAATGTTTTCCCAAATATCTATTTCATCAACAGAAAAATCATCTCTTTTGAGAATTTCCAATAGAATTGGTTTTTCCAATGATTTAAATTCCCTTGATTTGAATAATTTTTCACTATAATCACAAACCTTTTCTAAATAGATATTTTTTAATTCTTTAAATTTTTCATTAGCATAAATCAGTTGTAGAATTTTAACTGGATTTTCTTTTATATGATCTTCATAATTTTCAATGAAATATTTCATCATATATTCATAAAGTGATTCAATACCAAGTTCATCTGCTGAAGTTAATAGTTCTAATATTTCATCTCCAGAATAATTTTCAAATTCAAATTTACATGTGTATAAAAATCTTAAATAAAGAAATTATTAAACAGATTATTATTATTATAATATACATTCAAATAAACAATTCAATATAATAATAAATTTATTTAAACTTACTTGAGAATAGGATTGAAACATTTTTCACTAATATTAACTTTCTTAATATATAATATCCATTTTCTTTTGTTGCATTGCTTAACACATTGCCAAAGAATGGACAATGAGCTGATATGATAGATGCATGTGCATGAACTTCTTTAATGTTTGGTTCTACACCAACATATATTTTTACATCATAAAAATCTTCTGTATTTAATAATCTTTCATTTTCATTAAAATATTTTTCAAATATCAAATTCATTTTTAATTTTTTCAAAAAAAAAAGGCAAAAAAAAAAGGAATCTTTAAATAGTACCCCAAAATTTCAGTATATTAATATTAGTATACTGTATATAGTATTACGGTGCAGATCATCTATTACAGATAATCAATTTTACCAATGAGAGCTTTTTGCTTTTTTACGCATGCTGTGCCACTTGAGATCAAAAAATTTATTAAAGTTTGATCGCATCTTTGTTGTAAAAAGTGTCAAGACAATAGTCTATTTTATTAAATTCGAAACATATAAATATGACTGCCGTTCCCACATTTTTTTTCGTAACACCAACAACATAGAGATATTTCTCTCACTCAATCTTCTACATTCGGCCACGGCGTCTATCCTTCAGGCAATCAAGATGAAACTCAATTTTATGAATGAGTAAATAAATCAAGTGGCATTTTGCTGATCAATTCAAAAAATTTTTTTATAGATCTCTTGACTTGGACAGTTCAATCTTTTATATTCAGAAAGGACACTCCATCCATCTTTAAACATTCAAAATCGAAGTACAGTATATTTATTGATTTCGATTAGTGTATGTTGAAAGTATGAAATCCTAAACGGACCACAAAGGACAAACCTCAGAATTTGAAGATACAAAGTCTGATGATCAAACAAAAATTTAGATATAGTTATGAATATTATATTAAGAAATCAAGTATTTATGTAATAATTCGAATTTAATTTTTTGTTTGTAAGTAATGATAGTTGATTAATCTCATTTTACATAACTTTTTTTTAAAGATCTTTTTTTATTCAAAGACTTATTTGTAGAGGTTGGAATCGTCCAAAAAATCCTTAGTCGACTACTAGTTGGTCAAAAATTTCTTTAGTCAACTATTAGTTGATTATTTTAGTTGACTATTTTAGTTGATTATTTTAGTCGACTAAAGAAATTTTTTATAATAATAATATTTTTTTTTTTTTTTTTTTTTTTAATTTACAAATTACGAATTCATTTCCATTTGAATCTTTCAATACTTCCACACAAAACCATGTGTTACGATTCGTTTTTTTAACCCGCTTAAATCATTGGAACTTGAAGCCAATGAACTATTGGACCTTGTATTGAATGTGTTTATTCATTCACACGTAAAATTATTGTCATCATCATCATATTGATGGTATTGATACTCTTCTGCATAGAAATTTTCCATTTTGAATGATAAAATACAAAAATCGTAATTGGTCAGACAATAATAATATTAGTATAGTATTAGTATAGTATTAGTATTAATATATAGTCAACTAATT